GCTTAGTACAAAACTCTGTACTTGGAAAAAGGAAAATGCATACCACCAGGTTGTGTAGACTTCAACTGAAGATCGGTGAAGAGAGAGTTCAGAAGGCATATTTAGATAAACCCAAGCAGATACCTAGAGAGAAGTCCTGTGGCCCTGCCTCTACAATGAAAACTTGCTGTTTCTGTGCCACCCCCACCTGCCTCCTGCAGAGGATTGGCAGCCTTTGGACCCTGGAGGGCATCACAGCTGTGAGCCACAGAAACACTATTAAAAACAAGGTAGCTACCAGTAAGAGCTTCAAAATTCATTTTTTCAATTAATTGAGGCTTTTCTGTGTTTAGCAGTTAAGGTGGATTCCAGGTGTATGTATTATGGTAACTGAACTAATAATAGCTGTTTGTTGTTGTATTTTGAATAGGTCATTAGGACTTAAGAGCAATAAATTATTGATTCCATATACATGGTATGTTCCCCTTTGATGTTAACAAGTTTTTGAGTGTAAAAATGTGTGCTGTTACAGGACAAGAAACGTGTAAGAAACATTAAGTGTAAATCACAAAGAAATCAGAAGTGATTTTCTTTGAGTACAGGGTACCCAGTATTTTGCCTTGTCTTAGATCCTTTGAGCTTTTCCAGTATAAAATAATACAGTGTATGTAGTAAGGTACCACGGTTATCTTTAAATAATATTAATTGTGACAGAATGAAAAAAGCAAGTGTGAAAGGTATATGTATATGGCAATTTTTTATCTTTAATAATATTTTTGTATGTTTTGTATTGTTTAATTACTACTTTCAACTACTACTACTAACTTTCAGCTACTAACTACTACTTTTAGCTTTTAATGAATGCATTATAAGATTATTGGATTACGCAATTGTTGCTCAGATGTGAAGAGTGGAACATGACAAAGAAGGAGGAAAGCCAAGCCAAAGCTGCTGCTACTTTCGTATCAGTAATTAACGTTAGTTTAATCTGAGGTCTACATGAAACTGGACAGAATACTGTTATTGAGTTCATAGTTCATGAATTGATATAATTACTTATTGAACATTTAAAAAGGTTTTCCAGTAAAAAATAACTGTGCCGATGCTTCTACAAACAGTTGTGGAGTATGGGGAAAAAAGTTTCCTAAAACCTAGGCCCATTTCATCAGGTGCCAGCTAATTTTTGTATTATGAGAACAGACTTGCTATCCCCTCTGTAAATATTTTTAAATGTTTTCTGCAGTCATTCTTTTGCTGGCTCTACATCTTTCTTGGCTGCACAGTGTTCACAGTTCACAACCCATTTCTCATTCCTCATTCTGTGAATTGTGTATACAGAGAGGTCTCCCTGAGATGATGGAGATGGTAATGGCAAGAAGTTCACTGAATAGTTACTTTAATTAAGGTATGACAATAATTAGGCTACAAAAGCATTTCTTTGTAGGTAAGATAAAGAACAGTAACATAATGAAATAAGGGAAGTGACAGCAAGAAAAAAGTGCCTGTTTCCCTTGTTCTCAATGCTTTTAAGTTGAACTTTCTAATATATTATTTTTTAAAGTTTGTTAATGCTGTCATACTTCATAGTGCTGTGCTTTACAGCAACATATAACTTTGCTTAGAAAATAACTGAAAAATGGTATTCTTTCTTCCTGTTACTTTTGTGTTAAATGTGCTTAAATTATGGGTCAATATGGATTTTTCTGACTGACATGAAAACAGGAAAACTAAGCTTTGTGTTTTGATAACAGTAGTGATTCGTAAATTAAAATTTACATGATAGCCTGATGGCACATAATGGAAAATACAACTAAGCATTCTTGCTCTATTTGTATGTATTTTAAGTTGTGTGCTAAGTTGATAGAATTTACAAGATTTGCAGGCAGTACTTAACTCATACTGAAATAAATAAGGATTTTTCCTTATTCCCACATACTGTATTCTTTCTTTTGACTAAAACTTCTGCTGCATAGAGTGTAAATGGTACTGCAAAATCTTTTAGAAGTGTGAAAAATACTCCATGCTGTTGATGGGAATTTCCTCAACAGTATGTCTAGTAGCACTATTAGATTCTCAGGCATAGTGACACTGCTTGAATACCGTCTTTTTGCTGTCGTTACTGCTTTGGTTGTACAGCAGTTTAGTGGTATAGAGCTTATCTGACTTTACCTTTAACTTTTTAGACATGTATATGTGGGAATCCAACCTGCAATTTATTTGTAACTGTCACAGAGAGGCTCAGGGGAAAGAATTTGCTAACAAAGTCAGCTCTTGAGTGCTAGAGGGGTCAAGAGCTTTCTCAGTCACTTCCTTTGGTCATAATCAGGTGAACATACTCTCACAAAAAATTTGTTATAACATTGTGGAATGAATTGCTTACAAAGTTAGTTTTGTTGTTTAATTTAGAATCATACATCATGGTCCAAATTTTTAGAAGCCTAACTGTACAATCATTAAATGAACAACAATCTAGGTGTGTTTTTTCTTTCTCTTTAACTATAAAGTAATTTTAATATGTAAAATGATCAAATAAAAATGTGATCAAATAAAAACAGCATTGGAGATAAATGACAAAATATGTTCTTTTTTTTCTTTTTCTTTTATGTGCTATATTATGTTCTTTTATTTTTTTTTCTTTTTCTTTTATGTGCTATATAATTATTTTTTCTTGAACTAAATAGGCTTTAGTTTTCTTCAACATCTGTTTCAGATCATCTTGTTCTAGGTTTTCCTATTACTCATTTCTTGTTTAACAGGCTTTAGATTTGTGTATGTATGAGACGGTTTCCCTTTCATAAAGTGAGACAATGAAGAACATTTTTAAGGTTCAAATGTTGTTGAGGAGGAAGTTTGTTATTGATTTCAGTTACAGAGCATGGACAACACTACATGCTTTTTGCACTTAACTCTAAGAATTCTGGTTCATATAAGAATTATGGAAAAGACCACAGTCTCTTAATGCTCTGGTCAAAAATGATCACAGAATCCACAATCATCCTTTCCCTTTTAATAGTGTGATTTTTTTCTTGTAAAAAAAAAAAATAAAAATCTTTTTTTGAAAAGGGATTTTGCTTCGGTGAGCATTTTTTCATGTTTAACATGTGCATATATTTAAGCTTTTAGTAAAGCGGTGTTTTAGCATCTGTAGTGGTTTTCTTGGTTGGTTTTCATACATTGGTTTTGTACTCTCAAAAATAAGGATGTGTTTTGCAGGCTTGGGAAGAGGTAGAAGCAAAAATGGGCTCTATATTGTTGGTGACACCTTGATATAATAAATCTGTTTACAATCCGGTGTTCTTAGAGGACACTATTCTTTGTAGCAGCCTTTGCCCTGGAACACCACCGAACTTGGTGGTAGTTTTGCATACACAGCAGCTACAGAGTTGTAACCTCAGTAAAAGTGACAAGGTAGTATTTGCTGCTAACCAAGGGCTTCCTAGAAGGCTTCAGGAAAGCAAATATATGAGGGCTGTTTTTGCTAGAAAGAACAAAATGACAAAACAGGAGATGAATGCCTCTTAAGAAGCCAGATCTCAACTTAAAGGAACGTAAGGAAATAAAACAAGCTAATAGACTTTAGCCAAATTGAAATAAGAACAGGTTTATAGTCATTAAAAAAAAAAAAAATCTATCACAAAGCTTTACACTTACAGACAGAGGATGAAATTGAGTACATAGAGCTTGGTACACTTGTTCCTTCTGTGCATATTATCAACAGAAAATCTATGTGTAGATAACATTGGTTATATGAGCAATTTTGCAAGGCAACATAGTAATTTGGAATGTGGGCACACCAGTCAGTTAAAAACAGGGAAAAGTAGTATTCTCAGGGGTCATGGAAAATATCAGTGAAAATGATATGCCTCACTGAAAATGATAAAGACTTCTACAGGTACGTCAATGATAAAAAGAAGATGAAGGAGACTGGTGCCTAGAAAAGCTGTGGATGCCCTATCCCTGAAAGTGTTCAAGGCCAAGCTGAGTGGGGCTTTGAGCAACCCGATCTAGTGGGAGGTGTCCCCGCCCATGGCAGGAGGGTTGGAGTTAGATGGTTTTTAAGGTCCTTTCCAACCCAAACCATTCTGTGATTCTATGAAAGTCCAGTTTTCTCACAAATGCTTGCAATGAAGCCTTTTCTGTGAGCACATTAAATACAAAAATATATTTTTTCTGATTGAATGATATTTTTGTAGAGATGCAATAGTAAATCCTGTTCCACTGACAAAAAGTGTTATCAAATTCAGTTGGATTGTAGTTTCCTTTCCAATGTAGGGGTTTGGCTGCTGGAACAAGGAAATCCTCAAAATTTTGGCTATGCATTGCTGAACTCTTAATGAAAGTCATGTGATAACTGTGAGAATGACTTCAGTCTTTGAACATAAAAAGTAATATCTGAAAAATATATTACTTGTACATACATGCAAGGTAGTTTTCAATAATGGTGATGTATATATTTTCAACCACATTTGATATGTACCTATCCTTCACTGGAAGATGATCAAATGTATTCAGATGAAAATCAATTTCACTAAATTGCCCAGACAACATTTAGCCTTGAGTGAGTATTCACACTTGTGCCAAATGTAATGTAATTCCTCCAGAGGTAACCTACAAACAAATTAGTTTTCTCCTCCTAGGTGTACTTGAAATGGTTGCAGGAAAGAGTGGAAGATCAGAGAGCATATGTTATTGTTCAGTAAGCCATGCAGTAGATATCAGAAATTAATGAGGCAAAGAAAGCAAGCAATGCAATCAGCAGCAACTAAATTTAGGAAGAGCTTGAGTGTTCTGGGAGACAGGAGCCTAAGCGTTCTCTCCCTTTGCTATGTGACAAACCTGAAAACATGGAGATGTGAATAAAAGTGTTAATGTTGTTATGCATTCAGGTAGCCATCAAAGTTGAAAACAGAGCTGTAAGTTGCTAGTGCTATATAACAGGATTAAAATGAGCAAATAAAGAAATATGACACAAATGGGTTTGTATAAAGTTTTAAATAGCTGTATTCTTTGTCTTCCCATAGAAATGTTTGTGTCTTCTACCAAATGGAAGCACATCTTAATTATTTTTGTTTGGATGTGGAATACAGTGAATTTATCAATACTTCATCAAAGAGAATAGAAAGCTACCTTCAGACCAAAAACAAAACATGGGAGGAGGAAGAGGCAATCTTCTCTCTGTGGCACACTGGATGTCCAAACCGAAGACTCCAATGGTACTAAGAGTTAAAATTCTAAAATTACACATAGCACATGGGTGAAATTGTTCAAAGTATACAAGTGTGGGCATTTATGCATTTTTGTTTGTCCTCCCAATTCTAGTAGAATTCTGAGTAAAAGAAACCCTGTATATTTAACAGGCAGTGCTACACAAAGAGTCACAATTTTTATTTTTATTTTCAGTAAAAATAACAGCAGAGCTTCTTAAACAGCTTCAGTTTTGTTGCTCTAAATACATGTATAAATGACACATGAGGTTTGTAGTTTTATTGGTATTTAAGTGGGCTTCACTGCACAGGTATAAGGTGAAGTTTCTTAATTCTGGTAGTGAATTCTACTTCTTTGTGCTTTTCATGTTTATAGTTTCAAAGTGAGCCAATTTCAGGTATAGGTCTACATGCCTTGAAAAAAATATTCCACTTACATTATAATAATTTGGAAAATCTTCATATCTTTGTAGAATCATTTGATAAATTCAATAAAAAGTCTACCAAACTCTTTCCCTTTAAGTATTTGGTATTTCCCAGCTCTTTGTGGTGGTTGACAAAAATTCTAACTAAGCTTAATTTCTATGTAATAAAACAGCTCAGCTTTAAAATTGGTTACCTTATTGATTTTAGTGCCAAGGGATTCGACTGCATTCACTTTGTAGGTTGTAACTTTCCCACTTTCAGAATCCAATCTGCTGTTGTGACTAGTGAATTAAGCATGCAGATATTATGATAACCGGAGAATATGAAGCGTTCACACTTGGGATGTGTCTCTGAAAAATTGCGTGGAAAATCTTTTCTGAAGCCTTTGTCACAGGAAAAAGATTTCAGCCTAGATTATCCTGCAGCTGTGCTCTTTTTCATGTATAACTTTTGGAAAAGATGTGAGGAAACTTAAGTGTTTAAATTATTTATTTTATTTTTCTTACACGTGGACCTTATAAAAAGCAAAGTCAATTATGTGGTCGTCCCATTCCATCTTCTATGCTTTTTCCTAGTCAAAAATCTTTGAATATGTGCTATTTCTGATAAATGCAAAGTGAACAAAATCTTCTAGTTCCTACCAACAGATATGTTAATTGAATTACTGCCACCAAGTCAGGCTATGATACTGGTCATGTTTTGCCTAAGAACCAAAGGAGATAAGAATTTTTCTTCTGTAACCAAATCATCTGAATCATGCATAATATCCCAGTCAGGGATATTATGTGAGACTGTGGGAAAGAAATGTATCAGTGGGTTTGCTCCTACATAGTTGATTGTTGCCCTCTTCACGGAGGAGTTCTGTTTTAATTTGTTGAAGGTAAGGGGGGAGGGAAACAAAGACAAAATTTGCTCTGAGTCACAGCTCAGCGCCTGCTGTGCTCTGGCCCCATACTGCTTGGTGCTTGGAAATACACAAACAGGAAAAACAAAAAGGGATAAAAAAAAAAAAAAACAAAAAAAAACAACACCACATGAGCCACATGAGAACTTAACCCATACACCATACACAGTGGAATTAAACTATTTAGATAATTGTTTTTTTCAGAACAATTTTATTCTGATTATCTAGAACTTCTGCATGTTTAATTTTATTTTGGGTTCTGGCTTTGGAGATAATTTTCCATAAAATTAAATTACAGCAGTTGAAGAAATAAAATCTTATTAGACTATCTAGTCTAAACAAGCACTAGTTTGAAATTATTGTGCAACATTAAGGGATTCTCATTTATTAAAGGCTGCATCTGATTTTTTGCCCTTAGATGTCCTCTACATTTGCATACTGTTTCAGGCTTACAGAGTTGTGCGATAAACATGACTAAATAGTTTTCATTGATACTATCTATTTATAATCTATATTAATAATGTTATGAATATTGATTTTTAAAGACAGCACTTCCGAAGTAAGGTGTTGCAAATTTGAATTAGCATGAGTCCAGCTGGCTGTGGTCTTGAGGTCTGATGCTTACTGGAAATAATATAAGGAAATAATATAAGTCTATAAGATAGGTAAAATCCAGATCTTAATGCAAATACATAAAAAATAGGTTTCTTAGAAGAAGAAGGTCAAGGAAGGTACAGTCAAGCTACAAAATGGGAAATGAGACTACATACCTGATGACAAAAATCTTTGTTTCATTGGAAACGATAAAAAGGGATTTATGGCAGTGTTATTAACATAAATACATTTATGAATGTTGTTTAGTTTCACCTAGGTGTTTTTAGAAATAGCTTTCCCCTGGAAAATGGAACACCAGAATAAAACTGCCATATCATAAAGATTTCCTTTGCCATATCTTGAAACTAGGATATTAATTATTTGGAACAGATTTTAGTTTTTCTGTGTTTGATCAGAACAGATCAAATCAGTGTCCCTCCTCCTACTATAAATGTGATTCATTTTTTTGAAGGTTTAGGTTTCATTTTTTCCTATCAGAAAAAATGCTCAGCCCAAATTCCCAACTAACCTGAGGAATCAGGTATTCTATTCAAATAAAAGTAGTAACTGATACAATTCCTGTTTGAAAATGAGCTTTTCATGTACGTCTCTTAACAAATTGCAGTTCTAGCTATTTTACCCATGTCATTAAAAAAAATAAAAATATCTCTTAATCAGTCAACTCTAATTTGTACAGCCTTGTGGTTTTTATGCAAAGAGGAGCTTTGCCAGCTTTGTGGGACATTCAGGTACCTCAGGTACTGAATCTCTCAGGATAATCATAGAGAATTTCTGTTGCTTTATGCACTGGTACTTTCTTTAAAAAATAAATAAAAAATCAGAGAAAGTATTCAGTGTATTAAAAGGCTGAATAATTCTATACTCTTGCAGTGATTAAATAAATGGGAGAATGACAGTCAGGTCTGATAAGTTGATTGCTTGATCTTGGCATAAGCCTTCTGTCCTTCTTCAGCATGGTTATAGTGCACTCCTCTGTCAGCAGGGCAGCATAAGAAAACTGTATTAGTATATCAATCCATAACCTTTAGAAATAATATTTATACAGATTAAGACTTTCTACATAACTAAATTGAGTGTCACCAGTGCATAGGCTGATACATGTAGATACAAATTTGCTTGAGTAAATGACAGCATGTATAGTGTACACCTGCAACATGACTGTTTTCAAGTATGTTGACTGATGATCAAATGGCATTAATTACAGTTAAAGAGGAAACTTTGTTGTCTTTTAAGTGCAGTGCCTGACCTTGCAAGGACTTGTGAAATTGCTTCAAGAGAACAGGAAAAAATAAACTCTTAGACTTCTTATCTATATTGACCCTGAATAATACTTAAAATAAAATTTGGGAAAGTATGTCTGAAATCTAAAGAAAACAGTAGCTATTATGATGAAACTGGCTGTGGCCTTTTATAGCTTTTTTATTTTTTTATCTTTTATGACTGCTCTGTTCCCTGCAGTGTATCTGTGAAGTGCAGAAAGAGTTCACAGCAGATGATTATACTAAGGTACCAGAGCTAGTGAAGTGTGAGATAATCTTTTGAGCTGAGAATTAGTGTCTCAGGCAACCAAGCGAGAAACCAAAGGGGAGTTATTTCTTCAGTAAAGTTTAACATCTAAGACACACCTGAAGCTGTAGCTCTTTATTACTCTTCAAGTCAATACTTTTGACCGTCTGCTTACATGTTAATAAAGTTTTTTTTAAGGGGAGGAGATAGTTTTGACAGAAGACAGATGCTTTGCTTGAAGATCCTATTTTGGTTTTGAAGTTCAATTTCTTAAATTTCTAACAGAATTAGCTAATAGAGGTAATAAAGCCTTTACAGTTTTGTCTTATACACTCCTCAAATTTGTGTGTGCAATATGTTCATTCCCATATCTTCCCTGTAAAAAAAAAAAAAAAAAAAAGGGGTGAGTGTGGAAATTTCAGTGGATTATGGGTTTTGTTCATAGATTATATTTCTAGTTTTTATTTAGTCTAGTTTATTTTATCTAGTTTTATTGTATCTTAATCAGTAAAACTAGACATTGTACCTTTAGCACAGTAGAGTGAAATTATGTGAAATCATAGGTTAGCATGCAGCTAGCAGTTTTGAAACAGAGGCTGTTGACATATCCTAAGTTATAAACCGGTGATAAACCATCAAAATGGTTTGTGATAAACCATCATAAACCTGTGATGATTGAAACATACCTTGGTTCAGTAGAAACTACGAAAGCCTGCTATGAAATACTTAAGTTAGTATTGATACCTAGATTATGCCAATTTATTATTTTTATGAAGCAGGAGGTAGTCTCAGGATAAGTTTTGGGTTTCTCAATTCACTGATACGAGACTGAAGAGCTGAGAGGGGGGAAGGATGTATCAAACACATTGAAAGGGCTTGAAAAACTATAAAAAGTAGGGGAAAAAACAACTGATGCCTCTGCACAAAATAAAAAAATACTCAGCAACGTATCTGAAGATGATGAGCTCAAATGCAAGATACTCAGTTTCTAATACCAATATAATTTCAGAGCAATATTGCTTTTGCTCATGATGTTCTTGTCACCTATATTGGCCAAAACATTAAGAAACGAATAAAAATTCATATACCTACTTTTTTAAGGTTCTGTGAGCCTTATATTGCAAATTATTCTTTGTATTTTTTACCCTTTTTCAACCAGTCTCCTTGGCATTTTCAAAGCAAGAATTGACATTAAATGTACTCTCAAACCTTAATGCATTGGGCCAAAGATGGTTAGAGCTGTTAAGTGCTAGTAAAACATCTGGCATTACAAATAGCTAAAGCACATATGCCTACTTTGTAGGTATAACTGACCCACTAATTATGTGTTAGTGTGTTTGCGTATGATGCTGCTGTGTGAATTAAGTGCTCACCCCTCATTGATTTTTGAAGAACCATAAATAGGATAATAAGTAATGATTTAAGAAACTTGTTGAAAATTAAAAGCCAGCTGCGTGTAGTGTTTCATTATTTAAAAATGTGTAACTGATGCATGCTGCCCACAAATGTTCTAGCTAATCTTCCAAATCAGGTGCAGCAGTTGGATTTTATTAGTGATAAAAATGTGTTCATTTGCTATTTTTAGTGCTATTTCAGAGAAAAGTCTTTATTTAATGTCAGCTTATATTTATATGCTTTTACCCATAAACCCATTCCTCTGATATTTGAGATGCATGCATGAATGTGTGAGTGTCTGATATAAAATCACAGAATCATAATACAGTTTATGTTGGAAGGCACCTCTTGTGGACATCTGCCTGGAGGAGGTTGCACGTTCAGGCAGCTCTTGAAGATCTCCAGGGAAGGAGACTGCATAGCCTGTGACAGTGCTGTCAACCATACAGTGAAGAAGTGCTTCCTGATGTTCAGAGGAGACCACCTGTGTTCCAGTTTGTGTCCATTACCTTGTGCTCTGTCATTGGGCTCCATTGGAAGTAGCCTGGCTCTTTTTACCCTCCCTTAAGGTATTTGTGCACTTTGATGTGATTGGCACATAGTTGACATATATCTGCTATTTGATTTTATCATTTTATTTTATTATTATTATTTTTTAATCTGCATGACTGGCAAGAAATTCTTATCTGAATGCCTAAACCTGCCCTTGCTGCATTTTTTTTTTTTTTGGGGGGGGGGGGCTGGAATGTAATATGAAAAGTCATTGTATTAGAGCAGAGCTGGAGTGCAATGACATAACAGCATAGTGTTATGTATTGAGAAATAATTTTTAGAGGAGTTAATTTAACTCATCATATTCTTAGCACAGGTGCTGTTATTCTAAAAGGATATTGATAAAATAGTTGGCAATGTTTTAGCTGTTCTTTTGTTGCCGTTAAATAAACATTGTGAGCATTTAACATTGACATTAAGTCAGAGACATTAAGATCATCTGTCTCATAGCTGAGATCTAGATCTTTAGTCGGTCTTCACCAAAGTATTTGACTCCACTAAGGTTGATAAATGTTATTGATTTTGCTTTCTGAAGTTGTTTTCATATACTGAAATTTAGGAGCTCTGAAGAAATGACAGTTGGCACTTAATTTCAGTAGCTACTAGATGCCCAAATGGTTTAAGTGAGTAAAACCCAGCAAGGTGCCATGGGGCTCAGAAAGAGGGGTTGATTGTGTTTACATCTTTTTAAATACAGGATGAGACAATGGCTTTGCTCATTGAGGCAGATGGACAGTTAAATGCCATTTTGTTCTGAACTTGTGACAGAAATTCTTCCTTTGGTTGTGGTAAGAAATTTCATACTTGTGTGTTCTTAGCAAACATCTGGCTGATGGTTGGTTTCATTGTTTGTCTGTCTGGTATGCCATCTAAGAAACAAAATTTTCCCTATACTTGCTGGAAATGACAATATCCTCATGAGCCTGATTTCTGATCAGGTTTTGGCAGGCAGAAACAATCCATCTGAAGCAGATGCTTCCTTTTCTGCAACCACTATTGTTGTTTCTGATTACTTGCATCAGCTCAGACAACTGATAGTTTCTCAACAAGAACTTAAACAGAATGAAAACTGTTTTTTAAACTGTTTGCCTCTTTCCAATGGTGATATGTCCATAGAGAAGAACACAGTAATAAAATCGTATTGTAATAGAAGCGGACAATTCTTAAATGATGACCACATTATTTAATTTTATATTTAGAACATGGAGTGTATGTGTTTTCCTCCCCTTTTCTAAAAAAAAGTGTAATGAAATGCATTTTTACTGGGGTTACTGTACTAAACGTATCCTCTATCATTGCATGTGATTATCCTCAATGTTCTAGTATCCAGCAAAAATCAACCTGCAGATGAGGAACAAGGTGAAGCTGAAGCCAGGTTTGGCTAAGAGCCTACCGAGCTGCTCTCTCACTCCCTTCTCTCTAGGATGGGGGAGAAAACGGTGGAAAAGCTGAGGCATTGAGATTGCCTACCAGCTACATCCAGGGGCAGAACAGACTGAACTTGGGAAAGTTCATTTGATCATTGAGTACCCCAGATCATTTTTAGTCCTTTCTCCTATGTTTGAATTTATAGAAAATGTATCTGTACTCTTGTTGATTTGTTTAAGTGCTGTAAACTTAAATAAATACATGTGCTGAGGAGAGACAGGGATCTTTTTACAGTTATACAAGGATTTCTGAATCAAGTTTATTAAGAGCGACTGATTCCACAATGCTTTACCCAAATTATAGAGAGGGTAATATCACAGGGCTCATCTGAAATGATGAAATAGTTCTCATCATAAAAAGTTTTCATGAGCTTATTTTTCTTGAAAGATTATTCTTCTATGATCTCAGGTTTATTATACAAACAGTACTAGCTTCTGAAAATATATCTACCATCTACCAATCTGTTGCTGCTTGTCACCCAGGACTCTCTATATAAGGCAGTCTTTGGTGCATTACTTTTCTGTTTACCTTTGTGTTTAACTTCTGTATGCATTAACACAAAGAGCTTAAAATAAAGCTAGTATGACCTGTTACTTGCTCATGTTGACCCTGTAGAAAAAGAGGTCTGTCACTTCTGCTTTAAGCCTATAATGGTTACATAGCAAGATGAAACTTTTGAAATGAAACTAGAGCTGTTTCTTGTTTAAATTAGTACTCAGTGAATTAGTACTCAGTGTTACTTTGCACTGCCTGAAGTTTTAGATTATATTCAAGATTCAAACCTTGAACTTGCACAGTACTTGAAACTCTTGCAGCCCCTATCTTTACTGAAATGTAAGGGACAATTTTATTATTATTATTATTATTACATTTTAATTGGGTTAGGTTCTAACTTACCTCAGGGTAGTTACTGGACATATTAATAGGCTTGTTGATTGCAGAATTGCTCCACGAAGGCCCATGAAGGCTTCTGAAATCCAAACATGTAGACCTTCCCACCTTTTTGTGTACCTTGTTTATGGCAGTGGGAAAGCAGGTTTACTAAAGGAAAGCCTGACAGCTGTGACTTCTTTATATAACACTGAGTGTTCTCTGTGACAACAGAACAACCAACTTTTTCCGCTGAGGAGGCCTGACACAGATGTAAAACTTACCCTTGTGTAGCTTCCTTGCTTGTATTTTCAATCTGGTTCCAAGGCAGAGTACCCTCAGATGTGCCTACTAAGTACATGAGAACATTTTATAAATCCTTGTGTTTAAGTTCTTGTGAGACAAAAAAAAAAAAAAAAAAAAAGCAACATCAATGCCTGTACATCGAATACTTGGAGACCTTTCCTGATATTAGAATGCTTTTCAAGTTAGCAAACACAGGTGTAACCTCATCTAGCAGCTGACAGCTGAAGTTGCATATAATTGATAGCAGTTGTCCAGAAGTATGTAAGCTGTGAAAGAATGAAAACCAACTGTAATTGCTGGATATGATATAAATTAATTTCCCAGAAATAACTGAGGTGCTGCTAGTAAGGAATAAGAATTACTTAAAAATTTCTTAAGAATGTTTTTTCCTTGTTCAAATTCAATTAATTTTATGACTTATTATCTTAATTGATTTTTTTTTAACCATTTACTTTTTATTGGAAAATATCACTACTTTAGAATCTACTATGGGCATGGGCATGGGCAATGTGGCTCAGGGAATAGTGCAGGATGTGTGTGACTGACTTCAGCTGGGGCAAAGAAGCTGACTATTTCAACACACAGGGGACCAGAGGGTGGCCTCTGTTTTTGATAAACAGCTATCAGCAGTGGGTCAGCTAGTGGTGGAAATGCTCTTACAAGAGCACAAATGTCTCCTTGAGTTAACCAGAGCAGGGTTGGGGGCTCAGCCCAGACCTGAGTACTTGTGCTGCCTGTTCTGGCAGCAGCTGAACTTGAGGAGAGCTCCGAGCCTGAGCTGACCTCAACCAGCATGGTCCACCCCGGGTAGGGATACCCCAGGTGGTTAAGGTGGGCACAGAGACCGGCACTGGTAACACGCTGGTGCTGTGGCCATGCTGCAATTGCTGTATTGGGCTCGTGTATTTCAGTACATTGCTGTATCACTTCTCAAAACCAAAATCCCACATAACATCAAATGTCTTCCAACAAGCAAATCTGATATACATGTAAAACATACCTTTCATGTGTGTAATATCTAAAAGAGCCTGGTTTGAGAGTATTGGATTCTGACAAACCTGTATTTGAGGGAATAAATATCTTCAAACTCAAATGACAAGGTAATGCCTTCAGGGTAGCTTTGTGCATTTTTTTGTATAACGTGTTGGATTGTTGAGCTATTATTTATTTTAGGAGGCGAAATCAGACCTTCAGTGCATGTGTTTTTTTCTTAGCAAAACTTGAGTATCACGAAGTTTATACATACATAAAGAGAAAACAATGCATTTTTATTTTTTAACATTTTAAGGTTTATGATGAGCTATGTGCTTTGCCTGGTAATCTTGCCATGCATTGGCCCCTTTGGATATTCAGTCCTACTTCAAATATAGCTGTAAGGAACATGCCATTGCTTCTGGAAGCAGAAATTTTAAAGTATAATGTACATAGTGTAATATATGCAAAATTCAAAATGTTTTGATAAGAGATTTGCTCTTTTTGTATCCTACCATTTATTACTTTTATCTATAATTATGGTAACACTATGTTAATAGTTTCTCATTTGTCATTAATTGATATGCATATTTTAATATTTTAACAGCCTATTTGAGTACTCTTGTTTCTCCTTTACCCCCTGCAGCCGAAGGAGGGGGGCAGGGAGGAGGGGGGATTTTTTTGTTGCCTTTAACACATTAGAACAAAAGAGCAAAATATAAAAGCTGTTTCACTGGAGATACAAGGAAAAAAAAATGGAAATAATGTGTACAAAACCAGCAGCAAGAAATTCGTTTAAAAATAGAAATGTGAAATGTGTCAGACTATGAAATGTGTTTATATGTTTTTCCCACTTTGAAACTAATGGGAATTAGATAACAAAATGCCTTTCAAAGTCTGATCCAAACATTTTAGGTAAAAATTTATTGAAATCTCAAGAAGCAGTACTTGTTTTTTCCCCTTTCTCCCCTGTGACTTGAGGCTTCAGTGAGGTCAGGAGTTAAAGTATTTGAAGTTGTATGTGGAGGTGTGAATTTCTCTGGATGAATCACAATATTTACATTGTAAAGGCAAATCTTGTTATTTCTTTTCATAGTTCCCATCATTGAATAATATAGGTGTCTCATGACTTGTAAAGAGATTATCACTCAGACCCATCGCTGTTATAGACAGAAGTATTTGGATTTCAAACTCATATGCAGAAAGTACGTTCACATGCATTTACCTGTTCCATCCTTACAGTAGTAGCGAAGCTCATGATACTAACTTCTGTTTGAAAAGTAATTCCTTTCTTGTGTTGAGCACAATAACTCACAAGAGGAAGAAGCATCTGCAAAATGAATTAGACAGTTTCTTAGGGAAAAATATTCAGTATTCCAAAGTACTATATTACATTTGAAAGTAATTTTTTTTTTATATCTGATTATATAGGATAATATTA